CCAAAGTATAATAATACCATATGCATACTCTTCTTGCAACAAGGATCAGAGTAGTGACCGTCTCCGGATACTGCCACGCCGCCAACTCGAAGATGTCGCGCTCCAGTTCTATTGGCAAGCTGACGGTGTCTCCTTCCATTAGTACATGAAACCGAGCTGGTTTAGTATTGGCTGAAAGGCGAGTTGGCTTTATAGATTGCTGGTTTTGAGTCAACTCACATTGTGGTTTGGAAACACACAGCCACGGTGGCAGTGCGCCGAAGAAGCTGGGGAGGATGCCGAGTGATTGCCATCTTCGGCATTCAGTTATTATTTTGAGGACCTTTGCTACCCTTTTGCAGAATTCGACCTGGTGAATTCAATCAAATCTCTCCGGAAAACAGGGAGTGTCCCAAAATGTACTGCAAAGTTTATAGACAATTCAGGGCGGATTCGAGCCCAGAGGAAAATCAAAGGTCATTACTAGTACAACAAAGCGAGGTACAAGCTCAAAAATTGTTGTAGCGTCTGTTTATAAGAGACTACATTACTGGGGCATTTTATCTATTCGTGGTTGATTTCTGGACTTCTACAGATGGGTACCTCGGATACCGCTACTTTGAGACAACTCCCCAAATGGCGAGCGATGCTTACAGGGTATTTCGATTTTCGTGGCGCTCAAAGTCCTGGCACGATGCCAGCGTCTCGTATATTTCGCGACGGCTCTCGCGCCCTTCTACAACGATCGTCCTCCGGAGACCTGCCAGCCCTGTTGAATTTCTCGCAACAGAGATTCGACGGCGGTCATCTTCGACGTGTCGATGTTGAGCACGCTTAGTTCATGTGGTCAATTATACAAAAAATAATATTACCGGAGATCCTAGGCAAGTTCGCCGCTTTATCTCGACCACTTGCCTAACTCCAAAGCTCTCGTGGCCTCCCCGAGATATTGATTGGACCGGGACAAAAGACTTGTCAATGTACAGCATATTCTTCCCGTAGAGCCCGTGCATTCTGTTTCCTTGAGGTACTAACGCTGAAGATCAGCCCTTTGTCTGCATTTTGAACCTCTCGATCATCCAATAGGCTGGCGAGATGATGCGTCGTCTTTTCGTCGCAGCGCGAATCACATTCATTGATTCAAGTTACCTGACTACTTGCGGATGAGTCGATGGCTCAGCTTGCAACTTCGTGTCCGCATTCCATCATCCGTTCTCTGCTCTACGACAGATACGAGATAAGTTGGCAACCCGGCTATCTGATAAACTCAATGCTTTCAACTTGCTTTCACCTTCCACAAATTCGGGGGCTCAGCGTCAATAGGATGCACGGGAATAATAGTTCACGTCTCGCTCTTGATATCATCTTCTGACTCGCTCTTTACATCGTCACTTTCCTGTTTTTCTTTGCGACGACGCTTAGCAGCCTTTTTATTGAAAAATATTAGCTAAATAAGCATGGATATCTGTCCTTCCAACTCACCTGTTTCGACTTTCCCGGCGCAGCCTTGCTCGCCTTTCTTTTGCGGCTGCGCGCAGGTGGAACATCAGCGTCCGATTCTGGATCTGAAGTCCCCTCATCCTCTTCTCCTTCGTCATTCAGGCCAAGCAGCTCGCGAATTTGAGACTGATTCGCGGCAGGTTGCTTCTTGACCCATTTCTTGGCAATTGCACGGTCCGCTGCGTCGACATGTGCCTCGTTAATATGTCTCTGAACCGCCCTCTGATTTCCAAAAGGAAACAGCAGCGCGGAGTATTCGGACCCGGTCTCGGGCTATCTCCGTCCTTCCAGTACGCGGCTATTGCCCTACAAATCTCATTCGTGCTCCGGTTGGATCCTGACAGAATGTAATTTGAGCAAAACCGGAGGAGATCCGGCAGTTCAAGTTGCAGGAGATTATTACGCACCGACATCCATCACCTTCATAAGTTCCTTGTAGCGCACTCGGCATATCGCCCTCTCGTCTGCAGTAAGTCGCACTGTCTTCTTGACCATGTCGTGGTGCGGGGTGAAGTGGTTAGTCCTATAAAATGAGCCTATCAACAAACACGTGCAGGTCTCGCGATTCTCGCCAATCATTGAATCAAATAGTGGCCCACACTAAACTTGATTTGCGATTTATATACCCACGACGTGCAGGTAAGTGATAGCGTGCAGGTTTTGTCGTCGATTCCTCAATTTTTCACTTCCTTTGCGATGAAATTGCATTGGAGACAATAAATCCGTCTCAGCCTGAGTGCATTTATGGGTCCCCACATCTACCCAAACACCGTCCTGGAACCTCCACTGCTTGTACTCACTGAATCGCAGCACACGCAACTCGGCGAGAAGCAGAGAAAGGGCAATGATCATGCGGTGTTGTTGAGGGGGTGGGAATGAAGTGGAGCGCAAGGGCGACGACGGATCCAGTCGTCGTAAAGACAGCTCCTGCAGCGGCGGGGTAGTTTTGCATCGCCCGCGCACAACCAATCCATTAGGTCCTGAATTTGAGGGGATAAGTGAAGAGTCGAAAATTATGAGTGCAACGCACAGAAAACGATGTCGGTGGCCGTTGGGGGAGACCCTCCATATTCAACCCGATCTTACTAGTAGATATGGTTTGATTGCGAGAAACACCGTTAGAACCTGGAACACGAATAGACACTCCGTCTTGGAAAAGTTAGTCCGACCGTGTACGGGAGGATGCGCAAAAGGACATACCCGCCGTGAATATATAATATGGAGCAGCCTCCTCATCCCCATCCGAGTCCCCATCATCGTCGCATTGTTCGCAAAACTCTGCCTCGTCGATGGCAGCATCCAAGAAATCTGTGTTATGAGGTGTGGGTAGAAAATCCGGCTCTATGAAATCCATACTGAGCTCGCGCAGGTCTGGGAACAGCTCCCTGATAGTGGAGAAGAGCACGGTGGTGGGAGATATGGGCGGGAGGCCAAGGGACCTCAACGGCGTGGAATTTTTCGCGATACCACACAGTACGGATGTTATATCGCGTATGACGTCCGCCGGTTTACTGTGACCCGGGGGAATGAGTCCGGCAGCATGGACCGGGCGGTCGCAAATAAATGTCTCGGCGAGGAATATAGGGCCGTAGAATGATCCAAGGAGTGGAATGGCTGAGGACGTGAGACCATTTGTGAGAGATATCGGAGCAGAAAGAACGGCTATATTTTCCAGACGCGGGCAGTCCTGAAGGAAGGTAAAGAATCGCTCAGCGATCTCTATCGTCACGCATATCTCCAGATCTACCAGGTCATGGAAGGCGTCTCCACGAACGAAAGCGGAGAGGACGGAATCACCGTCGGGTCCATCTTTCAGACACAATGACTGCAGTGTTATCGGCGAAACGATGCGGAGCGGGAAGGAGATTCCCGTTTCTTCGCTGAGGACCCCAGAGATCGTTAGACGTTTGAGACCCATTGGAGACCCGAGACGGCAGGTTATGTCGCAATCCGCGAGCGTCAACTCGACCAGTCTCGGCAGGCCGGACAGAGCCTGTCGAAAATTCGTGTTGATCGTCAGATTGCTGAGGAACAGCACACCCAATTGGCGATATTGCGAGAGCGCCAACTGAAGCTCATGAACTGCGGATAGATACCGTTGATTTAGCTCCAAAATTCCCATCGTCTTTGGATATTTCCAAGCTAAATCGAGATCGAAGTTACCTACGAATACCAACCGCCGGACCGAAGACACATGGCGGCTATCTCGGACACGCTGGAGTCGAAGGCTGGTTGATACGATGTGGGCGCAAAAGTGCATCCAGTTACGAGGGGTAATATCCTCGGTGTATGGTGCGCGGAATATCTGTTTATAAAATAGCAGCGGATGGCATATATCGCGGAACAGGCGGCACACGAGAGCAAGACGGCGAAGACGACGGTTGTGACAGTAGCTCCAGCATCGTTCCCAAACTTCGGTGGGTAGATTTTGTAGGTGGGAAAGAGGGACACTAATATCTGAGTGGCTCATACGATGAGCTGAAAACCAGTAATAAATTATCTTGCTTGTATAGCGAAGACACAAAATAAAAACCTTTTCATTCGAGATTGATGACGGAGCTTGGCTCGCAGAGGGGGGAAAACTGGGATGGAATGAAGATACGACACCATATAAGTGTTCATGCTCTTTGTTTTCGGCGGCCGGGGCTAGGTATCCCATTAAAGCTCGTACAAAGAGCTCTTGCCATCAAATAGTGCGCCATCAGTTTCCGAAGACAATAAGTGAGCGACTCGGAGGCATGAGCAACACCGTACCCCTGGCGACGAGCGTCCAAGCCTCATGCCTGTGCGAGGTTTATGGGTTAAGGTCCGGGCGCCGCCGAAGCAGGGGTGCGTAGGTTACACCACAAGCGCAGACCGCGGTAGACGGGGAAAACACTACCACGACTAACAGGGTTCCCATGCTACTTCGAGACCAATCTGAGGACTGCAGTGTCTTCTAATTGATATCGCGGTGGTAACACGCTGAGCTGACTGCACGTCGAAGCCGTACGGTTCGTCATGGTCAAGGCAAAGGGCAAGCCTGCCACGTGATGAAACGCGACTCGCCAAATTCAACAAACTGTGGCAAATAGCACACACCACCGCCACTCAACTGGTTCAAGAATTTCAAAAACTGAACTGAGCCTGAGTTCATCTTTCTTCGCACAACTCCTCTGTTCACTGGTCATAATTTATCCTAAGCTATGAACAAATCCTCTGTGGAGTGAGTAAATTACCTCTGACTTGTAGTAACCCACAAGCTAATTAATATTTGGATCTACAGCCCATTTATATTTGGATTCGGATTCGTATGCAGGGAAGTTGTAACCATGGGCTATGAAGCCTCTGCGGGTTAATGTAAATCACCTCAGCTCCATATTTTGCTCTCAGACGTGTTTTTGTTCTGTTCTTCTCACTCGTTGCTCTGCATTTATGTCTAAGCCATCAGTGAGTTGACAGTGCCCGCAAACTAAGTAATATTTGGATCTGCAGCCCAAGCATTCAGTTTCAGATTCATAGGTGTGAAGAAAGGTCGGTAAGCCTCTGTGGATGAATGTAAATCACCTCTGGCCAATGTCAAAGCCCCAATATTGGATGAAGAGGATGATGTGGGTTCGAATCCCACCAGAGGCATACATTGTTTTAATTTTTGGGCAGATTTTTGGGTTTCTCTTATTTTAGCATGGAACTAGGAAAACAGGTTCGATCTTCAGTCCGCAGTTATGTTCCACCTGCAGAGTTGCATTACTTACTCCAATGAGAATTCCGATCCACAGTATTATTTACCTCAATCTCGATTCAATATCCAGGTCGACCGCCATTCGGATTCATAGGTGTGAAGAGAGGTTTGCAAGCCTCTATGGATTAATCTAAATCACCTCAGCTGCATGGTGAGGAGAACGTGGGTTCGAATCCCACCAGAGGCATGTGCGGTGATTTTCATATTTTTTTCCCCGTTTACCCGTTTACCTTTATCTTTTGATTTATCCTTCCCTGCAATTGGTTTTGCACTCGGCTCATTTGTGATCCCTGCCATGCCGAAGCCGGAATTTGGATGTAAGTGAGATCTGTGCCCGGGATCAGCCCAAGTCATTATGATTCCGAGCCATGGGTATCCTAGATTCTTGGTTGGAAGGTAGCTAGGCTAGGAACAAGACTCTAAAAGCCTCTGTGGATTAATGTAAATTATCTCTGTTTCATGCTAAACCATATCCGCTGGAGAGAGATAATGTGGGTTTGAATCCCACCAGAGGCATCTCCGGTGATTTCATATTTTTTCCCCCCGTTTTTCCCGTTTTTCCCGTTTTGCCATTTGCCTTTATCTTTTGGTTTATCCTTCTGTGCAACTAATTTCGCACTCAGCTCATTCACGAGCTGTGTGCAGACTCATGAGAATAAATTAGATATAAGTGAGATCTGTGCCGGGGATCAGCTCAAGTCATTATGGTTTCGAGTTGCGGGTGTCCCAGATTCTTTCTGGGTAGCCAGGCTAATAACAACACACTGGTAACCTCTGTCGATTAATGTAAATCACCTCAGCACCATACGTCTGGATATATAGTCCGTTTAAGAGGAGGATGTGGGTTCCAATCCCATCAGAGGCACTGAATTCTGCCTGTCCAATCATTTTGGGGCAGATATTTGGTTTTATCTTATTTTAGCATGGAACTAGAAAAACAGGTTTGTTCGGTCATTGACAGTCGGTAGTTCAATGTTTAACCTGCAGAGTTGCATTACAGTACTCCAATGAGAATTCCGATCTATCAAGTCCCTTAATCTTCATTTAATATCTGGATCAGCGGCCATTTGGATTCAGAGGTAGCTAAGCTGCGAAGAAAGGTTTGCAAGTCTCTGTGGATTGATGTAAATTATCTCTGTCCAATAGCAGTTGGGACTTTCAGTTTGTGAGGATGATGTGGGTTCAAATCCCACCAGAGGCATAAACAAGTTGTTTTCTTTTTTTCTTACTTTCCCAGTGCTTTTCTTTTCTTTTCAGTCAGTTCTTTCCGAGCTGGTGACAGGATTTAATTCTACCAAGTGGTGCAGTCAACTCTCAAGTCAAATTTTTGATGAGATCGAGAGTGTGGTCATGTCCAAGGAATATTTGAATTTGAACCATACAGTGGTAGCCAGCCTATGAACTGGGGCTATAAAGCCTCTGTGGATTAACATAAATCACCTCAGCTTCATATGCTTAGAGTCAAAATGATTTGAGAGGAGGATGTGGGTTTGACTCCCACCAGAGGTGGTGATTTCAATGTTTTTTCCCGTTTACCCGTTTGCCTTTATCTTTTAACTTATCTGTGCAATTAGTTTTGCAGTCGGGTCCTTTGCAAGCTGTGTGCAGACTCATGAGGATGAATTGGATGTAACGGATATCTGTGCCCGGGATCAGCCCAAGTCATTGTGGTTCCGAGTTGTGGGTATCCTAGATTCCTGATTGGAAGGTAGCTAGGCTAGGAACAAGACTCTAAAAGCCTCTGTGGATTAATGTAAATCATCTCTGTTTCATGCCAAATCACATCTGCTGGAGAGACATAATGTGGGTTCGAATCCCATCAGAGGCATGAATGTTTTCTGTATCATTTTTCTCCGTTTACCTGCTTACCGTTATCTTTTGATTTATCCTTCCCTGCAATTGGTTTTGCACTCGGCTCATTTGTGATCCCTGCCATGCTGAAGCTGGAATTTGGATGTAAGTGAGATCTGTGCCCGGGATCAGCCCAAGTCATTGTGGTTCCGAGTTGTGGGTATCCTAGATTCCTGGTTGGAAGGTAGCTAGGCTAGGTACAAGACTCTAAAAGCCTCTGTGAATGAATGTAAATTATCTCTGCTTCATGCCAAACTGGAGAGAGATAATGTGGGTTCGAATCCCACCAGAGGCATGAGCGTTTTCCGTATCATTTTTCCCCGTTTACCTGTTTACCTTTATTTTTTGATTTATCCTTCTGTGCAGTTGGTTTTGCACATGGCTCATTTGGCGGTGTGCAGAATTGTGAGGATGAATTGGATGTAAGTGAGATCTGTGCCCAGAATCAGCTCAAGCCATTATGGTTCCGAGTTGTGGGTATCCCAGATTCCTACTAGGTAGCCAGGCTAGGAACCAGGGCTATAAAGTCTCTGTTGATTAAATAGCAAATCACCTCAGCTCGATATAGGAATAATATGTTTGGTTTTGAGGAGAATGTGGGTTCGAATCCCACCAGAGGCATAGTTGCTGTGATCGTTCCTTTTTTCCCTTTATTTTTTATTTTTTCTTGCTTCAGATTTTTCCACCGGTTTTTTCTGCGTTGTTTTAGCAAGTAGCAGGAATTAATTCATAGGTAGTGTGTACATCCATTTTCATTCAAAGTCGGACTTTTCAATATGTGACAATGTCCTGTGGATATTTGAATTTGAACCAGTCATAGATAGTCAGCCTATGAACAGAGATGAGCAAGCCTCTGTGGATTAATGTAAATCACCTCTGATCAATGACATTTGGCGGGATGTTGAATGAAGAGGATGATGTGGGTTCGAATCCCATCAGAAGCATTCACTTGTTGCAGTTGTTCAATGATTTTTGGGCTGATTTTTGGTTTTCTCTTGTTTTAGCTTCGAACCAGGAAAACAGGTTCGTTCTTCAGTCAGCAGTTATATTCAACCTGCAGAGTTGCAATACAGTACTCCAATGAGAATTCCGATCCACAGTATTATTTACCTCAACCTCGATTCAATATCCAGGTTGACCGCCATTCAGATTCATAGGTAGTTAGGGTGTGAAAAAAGGTTTGAAAACCTCTATGGATTACATAAATCACCTCAGCTGCATGGCGCAAATGCCGTTTGATTTGTGAGGAGAACGTGGGTTTGAATCCCACCAGAGGCATTTGCATTGATCACATCTTTTTCCCGTTTACCCGTTTGCCTCTATCTTTTGATTTATCCTTCAGTGCAATTGGTTTCGCAGCCGGCTCCATTGCGAGCTGTGTTCAGACTCATAAGGATGAATTGGATGTAACGGATATCTGTGCCCGGGATCAGCCCAAGTCATTGTGGTTCCGAGTTGTGGGTATCATAGATTCCTGGTTGGAAGGTAGCTAGGCTAGGAACAAGACTCTAAAAGCCTCTGTGGATTAATGTAAATCACCTATATCTGATAAATCTAGCCGCAGTTTGTTGTTTTTCCACCGGTTATTTCTGCGTTGGTTTAGCAAGCAACAGTAATTAATTCAACCGTAGATGGTGTGTACATTCAATTTCATTCAAAGTCGGACTTTTCAATATGCGACAATGTCCTGTGGATATTTGAATTTAAGCCAGTCATATAGGTAGCCAGCCTATGAACAGAGATAAGCAAGCCTTTGTGGATTAATTTAAATCACCTCTGATCAATGACATGTGGGCTGGGTGTTGAATGAAGAGGATGATGTGGGTTCGAATCCCACCAGAGGCATGAACTTGGTTTTCCAATGATTTTTTGTACAGATTTTTGATTTTCTCTTATTTTAGCATGGAACTAGGAAAACAGGTTCCTTCAGTCAGCAGTCCAATGTTTAAAACTTGCCGATTTGTATTACTCCAACGAGAATTCCGATCCACAGTATTATTTACCTTAATCTCGATTCAATATCTGGATCTGCACCATTTGTATTCATAGGTAGCTAGGGTGAAGAAAGGTCAGCAAGCCTCTGTGGATGAATGTAAATCAACTCTAGCCAATACGAAGGCCCCAACATTGGCTGAAGAGGATGATGTGGGTTCAAATCCTACCAGAGGCATGCACAGTCTTGGTTGTCCATTCTTTTTGTTTGCCGTTTGCCTTTATCCTTTAATTTATCCTTGCAGTTGGTTTGGCACTCGGCTCCTTTGCGAGCTGTGTGCAAACTCATGAGGATGAATTGGATGCAACGGATATCTGTGCCCGGGATTAGCCCAAGTCATTGTGGTTCCGAGTTGTGGGTATCCTAGATTCCTGATTGGAAGATAGCTAGGCTAGGAACAAAACTCTAAAAGCCTCTGTGGATTAATGTAAATCACCTCTGATCAATAGATATTTGGCGGGATGTTGAATGAGAGGATGATGTGGGTTCGAATCCCACCAGAGGCATTATTCCTTCCGGTTCTTTTTTCGCTTTATTTTTTTTCCACCGGTTCTTTCTGCGCAGGTTTAGCAAGCAACAGGAATTAATTCGACCATAGATGGTGTGTACATTTAATTTCATTCAAAGTCAGACTTTTCAATATGCGACAATGTCCAGTGGATATTTGAATTTGAATCATACAGTGGTAGCCAGCCTATGTATCAGGGTTTACGAGCCTCTGTGGATTAATTTAAATCACCTCTGATCAATGACATGTGGGCTGGGTGTTGAATGAAGAGGATGATGTGGGTTCGAATCCCACCAGAGGCATTATTCTCTCCTGGTTCAGTTTTTTTCCCCCACTCGGTTGGTCTTTCTGCATTGGTTTAGCAAGTACCAGGAACTAATTCAACCATAGATCTAAGTACAGTTACATTCCAAGTCAGTCGGATTTCTAGTAAGGTCGAGCCTGTGGCCATGTCCAGCAGATATTTTGAATTTGAACCAGTCATAGGTAGCAAGCCTATGTACCAGGGTTTACGAGCCTCTGTGGATTGGTGGACAATTGCCTCTATCTAATTCGTTGTGGTCGTCGTCGAAGAGGATGATGTGGGTTCGAATCCCACCAGAGGCATAGGCAATTCTGGATATTTTTTTCCTGTTTTCCCCTTTTCCCGTTTACCTTTATCTTTTGATTTATCCTTCCGTGCAATTGGCTTCGCAGTCGGCTCCATTGCGAGCTGGGTGCAGACTCATGACGATGAATTGGATGTGAGGGGATCAGCTCAAGTCATTATGGTTCGGAGTTGTGGGTATCCCAGATTAGCTGCAAGGTAAGAACAAGGTTCTGAAAGCCTTTGTGGATTAATGTAAATCACCTCTATCTAATCAAATTGACTGCAGTTTCTTGTCGAGGAGGAGGATGTAGGTTCGAATCCTACCAGAGGCATTATTCCTTCCGGTTCTTTTTTCGCTTTATTTTTTTCCCGCCGGTTCTTTCTGCGTTGGTTTAGCAAGCAACAGGAATTAATTCGACCATACATGGTGTGTACATTTAATTTCATTCAAAGTTGGACTTTTCAATATGCGACAATGTCCAGTGGATATTTGAATTTGAATCATACAGTGGTAGCCAGCCTATGTCCCAGGGTTTACAAGCCTCTGTGGATTAATGTAAATCATCTCTCCTCAATATTGAGGGATCCGTGTAAATTGGTTGAAGAGGAAGATGTGGGTTCGAATCCCACCAGAGGCATCGAGGATCATGATTATTTGTTTTTTGTTCTCCTCACTTGTTACGATTGGAAACCACGCCTATGGTCTGCGCATATTCACTGAGACACTGAGAGCCACAAGCATAAGGTGTGTCTAAGCCATCAGTAAGTTGGTACAGTGGCCGCAAGCTGGTTAATATCTACAGCCATGTCATTCAGATTCGGACTCGTATGCAGGGAAGTTGCGAGCTAAGGTTTGGAGGCCTGTGTGGGTTAATGTAAACCTCCTCTGTCTAATAAACGGGAATTCCCCAATGAAGAGGATGATGTGGGTTCGAATCCCACCAGAGGCATGAGCGTTTTCCGTATCTTTTTCCCCCGTTTACATTTATCTTTTGATTTATCCTTCTGTGCAATTGGTTTCGCAGTCGGCTCATTTGTGATGCCTGCCATGCTGAAGCTGGAATTTGGATGTAGGTGAGAGTTGTGCTCGGGATCAGCTGAAGTCATTATGGTTCCGAGTTGTAAGCATCCCAGATTAGTTGCAAGGTAGCCAGTCTATGAACCAGGGCTATAAAGCCTCTGTGGATTAATGTAAATCACCTCTGTCTAATATTGCCCAGAACTTGTTGTTGAAGAGGATGATGTGTATAATTTGTCCGCATCGTTTTTCCCCCCACTCCAAGTTGCCCTCTTATTTTTCTTTAGGTCTGCGCCTGGACCTACCTGGACGTGGAAATACATTTTTCCGCCCACAACGCTTTCCCCACACCGAAAGGAGTTATTGATTGAAAAGGGAAAGGGGTGGCGCGGTCCGGACGCAAATGATCGGCGATGGTGGTCAGCTGATGCGTTGGTACGCGTCATTTTTGGTTGCCGACTCCAGTGTTTCCCATCTCTTCTCCCGTGTTGTACAGTATCTGCAAAGAAGACGGTGGAAGGCAGACAACAAGGCGATGGAAGGCGAAGACTGTCAGGACGGTTATCAAAGGAAGGCTGGAAAATGAAAGAACCCAAAGCATGGACCCGAACTCGGACTCGGACTCGGAGCGGCGGGAAACCGAATTCCGCATTAGCTCGCTATCGCTATGTAATAGACAGGTCAGCTGGCGTGCTCGTATATAAGGCAAGTATCTTGGCCCGCTCCTTGTTCTTGCACGCCCAAGTCGACAAAGACCAGAAAACAAGACAGACACTAAAAAACAATGGCTACGTTCACATACGAATTCAAGACGTCGTCCTACACGGGCAAGACGAGCTTCCCCACCGGCTTGTTCATCGATGGCGAGTTCCGCGAGGGCGGGGGCAAGGGGACGATCGAGTGCGTTTCTCGTCTTCCTCCTCCCTATGCACGATAGTACTGACGATACGGATGGATATAAAGTGTAGTGAACCCCACCACCGGCACGCTCCTGACGAAGATCCCCGAAGCCACGCCCGCAGATGTCGACCTCGCCGTCAAGGCCGCGCAGAAGGCCTTGGATACGACGTGGGGGCTTAATGCCAGCGGCGCCACGCGCGCGGACCTGCTCATGCGTCTTGCGATGCTCATGGAGAAGCACACGGACGAGCTGTGCGCAATTGAGGCCTTGGATAATGGTGGGTGTCTGCGTTTTTTCTGTTGATTGACTCGTCTTTGCGGTTGTGCGGCGACGGACGGAGCCGATTTGTCTTTTTCTTCTTCTTTTCTTTCGAGCTTCTTCGGTCTTGGGCGGGTATCGGCCGTGCGGCGCTATTTGTCTGGCTCTTTTCCGTTGATTTATCTTTGCGATTGTGCCGCGACGGGCGGAGCCGCTTTTTTTTTTGTCGAGCTTCTTCGGTCTGGGGCGGGTATCGATATCCGCTGTGCGGCGCTATTTTTCGCGTCCGGCGCGTATATCCTCCCTCCTTCACGGATACATCCGTTTTAGGCTCTTTATTGTCTTCTTGCCTTCATTGACACAAGGACCGTTCTATTCCTGCGCTATCTGCCCTTCTCCTTGTGTTTTGCCTTCTTCATTCGTGTCTTTTACTTCCTTTCCTTTCGTCCTTTCTTTTTCCGTTCCCTCTGTCTTTCTTTTCTTTCTTTCTCCCCGTGTTTTGTGAGAATCTGAATCTGAATCTGACACGGCATTCACAGGCAAGACGTTCACCTGGGCCAAGAACGTCGACGTCGCGTTCGCGACGCAGACTATCAAGTGCGTTTTCGTTCCTTTCCATTCGGGTCCGCCTACCCATTCATGTTTCGCCTCCGCACCTACCCCGCCCTCCTTCGCGTCCCGCATCCCCATTCGCGTCCGCTCTTCACACCTACATTCTTTATCCGTATCCTTATCCGCTCTGTCTGCGCTATGGCCTCCGCCTACTTGCTCCTCGCTCCATCCTCCGTCCTTTAGGCTTCCGCACTTTCCGACCTCATCGCCCCGCCCCAACTCGCCCCGCCGCGTATTCCCTCCCCTTCCTTTCACTGATTTTTTCACCCGCCTTTACCGCATTCCGCGCCCCCCTCCCTATCCTTACCCGCTCTGCACCCATTCGCATCCCCCGTTAACCCACCTCCCATTCCTCGCTCGCCTCTCTCCCTGCCTTGCCCGCGTCTGCTTCCCTCTTTTCGCTTCCTTTATTCTTCCTGATCCTTTTCTTGTCTTTATTTCTTTATTTTTATTTTCATTACGCACGACTTTCTCCCTCCCTTCCCATCCCTCCCCCTCCCTTCCCATCCCTCCCCCTCCCTTCCATCCCTCCCCCTCCCTTCCCATCCCTCCCCCTCCCTCCCCCTCCCTCCCCATCCCTTCCCCTCCCTCCCCATCCCTTCCCCCTCCCTCCCCATCCCTCTCCCTCTCCCTCCCCTCCTTCTTACTCCTCTTAATAACCCTCCTTATCTAACCCTCCCGCCCCTAGATACTACGCCGGCTGGGCGGACAAGATCTCCGGCCAAACCATCGAGACGGACGAGAGCAAGCTGATCTACACGCGGCACGAGCCGGTGGGGGTTGTGGGGCAGATTATACCTTGTGAGTTGGGGATTTCTTATTACGCGTACGGCCTGGGCGTGTGTGCGTGTGTGTGCGGGCTGGAGTGCGGGTGATGGTGGTGCCGCGCGCGTTCGCGTTGGGAGCGAGGAGTCGCCGTCCTTATGGGCCGGCGGGGTGGGGAGGAGCAGAGGAGCGTAACGTGCGGGCGGTGAGGAGGCGCTGTGGGCGCTGGAGGCGTGTGGGCGTGTGGGCGTAGTAGGAGGCGCCATCGGGCAGCACGCGTGCGTTGGGAGCGAGGAGCTGGAGGCCTGGGACGGTCCATGGACGTGCGGGCGAGTGGTGCGCGACGCGGAGCTTGATGCGTCGCGTGAGGTCTGGAGCGCTGAGGCAGTGTCGAGTGCAGTGGCGCCGTCTTTGCTTTTTTGGGGCGACAGCCTGGGGATAGGAATCTGAGTGCGCCGCGCGCCGCTGCGCTTGGGCGTATACCTGGCGGCCCGCGTACGTTTTTGTCGGCGCGCGCGTGGTCGTCAGGCCTGAATGCGTGCACGCATTCCATATTCCATTCTGCGGCATGTGCTCTTGACTTATCGGGCGGTCTGTTTCTTTCTGGACTGGCGACGGGCGAGTGTGGACCGCCCCCCGCCCCATTGGGTGCATGGAGATTGTCCCCCGCTACTGCAGCTCGTATTCCCTTTCTGCTCTGATCCCTGTTCGGTCGTGTGCTAACAATCACTTTCACCCACAGGGAACTTCCCCCTCCTCATGATGTCGTGGAAGATTGGCCCCGCGCTCGCGACGGGGAACGCGATCGTGATCAAGGTGGGTTTCGCTTCGCATTCGTCCGCTGCCCCATCCTTCGTATACGTTTACTATGCCGGGACGCCTTCATTCTACCCTTCACTCACGTACACGTATCGCTCCATTATCATCGCTGCCATACGGACATTTCGGACCTCCCGTCATCCTCGCTCCCCATCTCCGCTCCCTTCTTCCGTGCTGGCTTTCTTGATATCTCATTGTACCTGACCCCGCCCACACCCCCATCCGCTCCTTCCATTCATCCATTCCGTGTCTCACTGTCGTGACTCCTCCGCTTCCATCCACTCGGACCTCCCTTTCGTAACGTCCTCCCCACGCTTCTACCCCCCTCCTCTCGTAACTCCTCCCCATACGTATCTCCCTCCCGCGCTCGGACCGCACGCGTCTCGTGCGAGCCGGCGCGCGCGTAGTGCGAAGGGCGGGACCCGGGCGCGGCACGGAACGGGGGTAGTGGCTATCCTTGCCCTCCTTCATTCCCTCACCTCCGTCGCCTACACTCCATGTCGCTGCCGGCGCCCTCCATTTCCCTTCCTTCCTTCCTGCACGCCCTCGTCCTTGCACGCCCTCGCACCTCCCTCTCGCCCAGCGTCCCTTTTCGCTCTTCGCGCTTTGGCGCCCTCATACCATCCCTATATCGTCCCTCTTCCCGTTATTCCCCTCCCCTCTTCCCTCCCAATTCTCTTACTGATATTCTCCCCCACAGCCCTCCGAATTCACCCCCCTCACGGCGCTGCGCATGGCGAGCCTCATCCAGGAGGCGGGCTTCCCGAAGGGCGTGGTTAATATCTTGGTTGGGTGCGTTGTTTTGTTCTTTGTTTCCTGTCTTCCTTCGTTTTCGGTGTTGCGTGTATTTACGCGTAGTGAGCCGCCGACTCGCTTGTTTGCTGGCGGAGGAGCTGGGGAGAGCGAGCGAGCGAGTCAGTGCAGTGGAGACCTTTCCGCCAGCGGGTTCTCAGGCTTTTGTGCCGAGAGCCAGTGGCCGCCTGTACCGCGACTACAAGCGGAGCAAAGGAGGAGCGGCATGCGTTGGCTGGCGGGAAACCGCAACCGGCTATCGCGGAGTAGATGTGTTGTGGAGGGCCGCGCGCAGATGCAGATGTGGATGCGTACAGTCGTGGAGAAGCTGAAGAGCTATCCGGCCGATGCGGATGTGGGGACAGTCCTTGAGGAGCCAAATTGCACTCATGCGTGCGTGCGGTGGTGTCGAGGCTGTCGATGTCGGGGTTTGTGTTGGAGATGCGGCGTGCGTCTACGGTGGGGCTCGCTGG